CAGTAGAAATAAGCTTAAATGATAATAAGGAAAGTTTACACAGTTTATTTTATTTGCATTATTTGGAGATTGGGTAAGGTTGGATGTTGTTCCACATTTTTAAATAATTTTCCAATTCAAGACATTATATCCCAGAATTTCAACCATTCTTGTTATTCATTCATTAAACCAGTGTGTATAAAATGTGACTGCATGCTGAGCAGTACCCTGTGTGTGGCACTTGGAATACAGGGACCTTTTCAAAATACAGTCTTGTCATTATTGCCCTTGAACCCTTCAGAAGGTACCGGTGCCAGGAACTCTTAGATTCAAACCAGGGTACAAAGGCCTGCCTGCTGAGCCCTGCAGGTCTCCCTGGCTCACCTTGCACCATTCCTCCACACCTCTCTGCTCTCTAACTACACACTTTCTCTTTGGTTCTTTGAAGATGCCATGTTCCTTACTGACCCAGGGCCTTTGTGTATGCTGTTCCTTGTGCCCAGAAGACTCTTCCTCTCCCTGCTCCCCTCCCCTTTGCCCAGGTAGCTCTTACACTTGGAACCTCAGCGCAGGTATGACTTCTCAGAGACAACCCATCTACTCGTTACTATCTCCCGGTCACGCAGTTATTTGAGGAATGCCAGTGTCCCCCATGGAATGTTTGTTCGTAGGTTCTATGCCACCTGGGGCAATATCTTGTTGGTGACAGTGTCTGCAGTGTTCACAATAGTCCCCATCTCCTGGCAGAGAGTCTAATATGGTTCAGGCACTCCATGAGTACTTGTTGAATGAATGGATGAATGAATGAATGATGAACAGGATATGGTCCATAGCCTTCAAGTCTAGGGTAGATCCAAACCAGGGTATTAGCTCCTGAAAGAGATAGAGGTGGCTATCTCCCCCAGCTCCATTCTGGGTTCCAGCTGCTGCTGGGCCTGACTGCATCAACTCCTGGTCTACCCCACTGCAGCAGTAACATTCATCTAGCCATTTGTTTACTTCAGATTTGCAAAACCCCACTGAGGTCTGGATTCATATCATTCTTGTGTTGCTATTGTGAAATTGGACATCCAGAGAGGTTAAGTAAATTGCTCAAAGACACATGGTTACTAAAGTCCATATTTAATTTTTTTTTTTTTTTTTTACTGCCTCCTGGACTCTCCTTCCCCCAAACTTAGCACCAGCTCTGGGTAACAGAGACTATTTGCACTCATACTTTGGGCTTTGTCCTAGAACAGCGATTTTTCAATACGTGTGCTGCAAGAATTTTTAAAACATGCAACACCTGACTCTAGTCAGAGGCGCTGACCTCTTTTCCCTTAGATTGTCAAATTAAAAAGACGGTAACAGCCAGTACAATAGCTGTCTGCTGTAGATGGATTAAAATTATACTTCTTTTTGTCAGATTGGCCAAAAATTAATACTTTTTTCACGTGCCACAAAATTTTAGTAATTAGTTTATATGTGTCTTGAAAATGAAAAAAAGCTGAAAATCGCTGCTCTAGAAAGATGTGCATTCTGCAGAATTGTTGGGGCGCCTGGGACCTGGACCGAGCGCCCCCTGGCGGTCACCACGAAAAAAAGAAATGGAAGTGGTGGTTGAACGCATGAATTTCGTGTAGTGGCGGCTGCCCGTCCCACCCTCACACGCAATCTCCGGGGATTTCGAGGTGCTGGTTTGGGTCATCCGTCCCAGGCGTTCTGCCCATCCCCGGCAAAGGCCTCAGGGCAGCCTGGTGGCTCCAATGCAGGTTCGGGAAGGCTGCAGCACCGGCACCCAATGCAAAATTGGGATGTGGGGGGGTGGGCGGGGAGAGTCATGCGAGTGTAGAGCCTCCTTCCTGAGTCTCAGCTTCCCCACCCGTGAACATGTAGGTATAAACTGTGACTGCATGCTGAGCAGTACCCTAGCCTTGGCACTTGGTACTCCGTGAAGTGGAGATGATGAAAACTATCTTGTTCAAGCCAAGACTGCCCCGGGGTGGGACTGCCATCCAGGCAGACTTAGGGACTAGGACAGAGGCTGGGAGCTCTCAAGAGGGTGCCAATTCTCTGCATAAATCCCTGGGAAACTTGCAGCCTCAGCCTGCTGGTAGACTGGAGGGGTAGGGCTGGAGGTGGAACCCTTATCTTAAATATCTTGGTTAGTACATAAAACACACAACTTGATCACAATACCAAAAATAAATTAGAATTTTGGCCCACTGCTTCTAACCACTCTTTATAAAAATGGTCTTCAGTTGGCTAAAAATGATTCAGGATACAAATTATTTCCATGATCACTGTATTATTTCTTGTGTTTCAGGGGATAATTTGACTCCTAACAAAATCCAATCCTTGTGTTAAGTATTTTTTCTTATCTGCTTAGGTTCTGGGTATATTGGAGAAATACATATATTTGCATTTTCTCAACAGCTTATTTTAGGGCAATTTAATGTTTAATCCCCAGCTTCATTCCAAACAGGGATGGAGGCAGCAACCGTTTTTTGGCCTACTGATGTGTACCAGGCATAGTGCCAGGCACTGGAGGCAGAGAATTGACTTGGGATGGTTGCGGGGGGAGCTGAAATTGTGACTGGGCCACAGGCAATCTGGGCCTTGGTGGGTGAGACCATGTGTTGTATTTGCTGAGTGCTTGAGCTTGCCTGTGGCCATGAGGAAGCTGTGGTCCATGGAGGCTGTGTGTGGGGAGACTGGGCCCTCATTTTATCTCAGTTCCCAGTACAGAGGTTCACTTCTTGTAGCCTCACAAATATTCTGAAGGGTCAGAATAAATAGAAGGGATGAGAGGGAAAGAATCACCAGAGAAGACCAGAAGGGGCAGGATATTACCAAATGTCAATTTATTACCTTATTTCCTGACCAAATTTGACCCTTTGATGTATGTGGTCCTCCCGCTTCTACTCCCACCCTGCAGGAATGTTTATGGTGTTCTAGAAGGGAGTGCCTTTCAGTCCCTGATCCTGAGGTATGTCATTTTAACAATGTTTTATTTTTATTTATTTTTTTATTGATTTGAGAGAGAAACATTGATTTTGTTGCTCTACTCATTTATGCATTTATTGGTTGATTCTTTTTTAAAAAATATTTAATTTATTTTTTTAGCGAGAGAAACATCAATCAGTTGCCTCTCATAAGCACCCTAACCTGGGACAAAATCTGCAACCCAGTCATGGGCACTGACAGAGAATTCAATCAGTGAACTTTCAGTTTGCAGGACAACACCCAACCGACTGAGACGCACTGGTCAGGGGCATTAGTTGATTTTTGTATGTGCCATGACCAAAGTTGGAACCTGCAATCTTGGCATATTGGGATAATGCTCCCAATAGCTGAGCTACCCAGCCAGGGCTCTAACCATGTTTTAGAGTGGACACTTAGGTCTTTTCTTTCTTGTGTCCTCTTCACTCCTTTAGAAAGTTGGAGCACTCTCAACTCTGCAGCATGTTTTCAGAGGCAGTCAGTTGTCAGCTTGGGCAGTGAGCTGTGTATGGGTAGAGGAAAATACAATAGTGTAGAGGCTAGAAAGGGAGAATGAGCTTTGCTGGGGCATCCCTGACACTCAACCATATGGTGATATGAATAAAACCTAGGGAGAAACACTCTCCTCTGCCTAACACCCTCAAGGCTCTCCCTCTATCATAAGCTCCAAGTACAGACCCTCTTCTGGAGTCAAACTCCACAACAAAGGAAGAAATGCAAACGGCCACTAACACATCTTCTATCTCATTAGCAATCAGAAAAGCCAATTAAGGTGGCAATGAGATATTGATAGTTTGGCAATTTTAAATGTGTGTAATCCATTAGTTCTGATTTTAGAAATGTATCTTTAGAAAACAGTTGAATCAAGATTAAATGTGTGAGGATAATTTTGAATCACTGATTATAATAGAAGTCCCTCAGCAGGGGACTGGTTAATAAATTATGGAGCATATCTAGGCTGCAATGTCATATACATTAAGGAGCCTAAGAAGCAGGCCGTCTCATGGTTTTTTAGTGTTTTGCCAACACCCATGTGGTCCTGGCCTCATGTCAGCCCCTGGCATTCATGCTAAAACCCCTGTCTTCCCCTGCTGAGGGGGCTGGGAATGATTCAGTGAGGAGCTGAAGGAGGAGGAGGTGGTGACAGAGATGAAGGAGGGTGTAATGGAGAAGGGCAAGGTGACTGCATTCAGGTGCACAGATAGAAGACAAAGCGGGGTGGAGGATTGTGGTGAAAGTTGCATGATCTCAGCTCACTTCTCTGAGCCTCAGTTTCCTCTTCCAAACAGATATAATATCCACAAGGGTAAGTTTGACAAGTGTAGTGGTTAAAGGTATTGGTTTTGTCAGATCTCAATTTGAACCTCAGGTCTGGCAGGTACCGGCTGTGTAACCGTTATGTTAGTCAGTTAGCGAGAGACTGTAGGATTTAGTGAGTGCTTGTGTGGGAGCAATAGAGTCCTCCCCAACCGAGGATACGTACTCTTATTTTCATTCCATTCTTCAGGGGCACACTAGAAGAGTGGAGAGAGCAATCATTTGTCCGAGGTCCCAGCCAGGATTTCTTTAACCATGACATTATCCTAACTTTCCTGCATCAAAAACTGGGATAACCGACAATTCCCTGCGTAGTTGGAGGATTCAAGAGGACTGGCAAAGAGCAGATGATTATTAAATTATTATTAAAACCATTATTACTATATTTGCGTTTTTCTAAGTTTTTGAGGGGAGCTGGCATCAATTGTACAAATCTTTTGCCTTAAAAAAAAAAAAAGACCTCAGGTGAGGGTGAAAAAAAACTATCTTCTCGGCTTCTACTCCAGGCGTGGCTATAGGGACTTGGCCCAGAGGGCGGGGCGGGGCCAAGAAGCAGGGCCAGACTGGAGGGGCGGGGCCAGGCTAGGGTATTAAAGCTGGGGGCGGGGTCTGAAGAGATGGGTGGGGCTTGGGACGGAGGCGCATGCTCGGTGGTGGGGCCCGCGCCCCCGCCGCCGCCGCCGCCGCCGCTGCCGCCGGCGCCACCGCCCACTCGGGGTTGGATAGCGGCGGGCGGCCGGGGCGCAGAGTAGGGCCAGAGTGGGTGAGCGCACGGCCATGGCCCCGTGGCTGCAGCTCTGCTCTGTCTTCTTCACTGTCAACGCCTGTTTGAACGGCTCGCAGCTGGCCGTGGCCGCGGGTGGCTCCAGCAGAGCTAGGGGCGCCGACACCTGTGGCTGGAGGGTAAGGAGAGGACTGCGAGAAACTTGCCGTCCCGAAAAGCGCGGGGTGGGGTCGCGGCGGGAGCGGCGCGCACAGGTGCTCGCGGGCGGCGGAGCCCGCGCTGGGTTGCTTGCTTCCTCCGGAGTCCGCAGACGGGGTGGGATCCCCGCGTCTCCAGACCTGCTTCCTTCCCTCCTTCCCTCCCTCCCTCCCTCCCTCCTGGGGCGCGCGTCCGCCAGCCCCGGCGGTGATGAAAGGGGCCGCCAAACCCCCGGCTTTGTGTTGCTAATGAGGCGCAGCCACGGGCCGGGGTCCCGCTCCCGGAGAGCGGGCGAGAGGGGCGCGCGGCGGCGGGTGGGAGAAGGACGCCCCATCTTTTGTTCCTGGCCCGGGACCTCCAACGCCTCAGGGAGGCGCGCCCCTGAGCCGGCATCCTCCGAGCTGTCCGGATGTGGGGGCGCTTTCCAAAGCAGGAGTGGAGTCTTACCCAGTACCTCTGGGACTGCCACAGAGCGGACCGGGAGCTTTGGGGAGGGATGCCCCTCATTCTCAGGGCCGCTTTGTTCTTTCTAGGCCGGGCCGTCTTACCCCTCTTTCACCCTACTCTAGACTCCTGATTTGCTGGGAAATTTTGGTCCTCCGTTTACCCCTTCATCTACGAATGGTCTCCCCCACGCCCACCCCACCCCGCCCTACCTAAAGTTGAAGATATTTTTCATCGCTAAAGGAAGGCAAGAGTTTGTCATTTCCGTCAGGTGCCCGAGACGAGACTGGAGAGGTGCAGACTTCTGCCGTGTGTTTGGACCCCTCTCCCTGTGACGGAGCCCTCCTTTGATGCTGTCTGGCCAGAGGGGCATGGGGCAGGGAGCTGAGCGCACCAGGACTCTAGCGTCCAGGGTCCTTACCAGGATTCCTGGGCTTGGGCAGTCCTGGTACCTGGAAACTGTATCCATCTGCTCCATATCTGCCACGGAAGGCAGGGCAGGCTGGGCATCAGGGCACTCACAGCCTCCAGTTTTGTGTATAGAACATGGACTTTGTGCTTGGTCACCCACGGACATGACCTTGGCTCTGCTCCTGGGCAGCCATGAACCTTCAATTTCTGCACCTGGAAAATGGGGGTAAACGAGTATTTCCTACTTTCCCCAGCACTATTGCTCTAAGGAATGGGTATAAGGTAGTTTGCTTAGAGCAACATTGAACCCCCCCTCTTCTGGGGTGCTCTGAAGGACCTCAGCACAGTCAAGGCCTAGGACTTGACACCCCCTTAGGGGCACAAGCTGGTGCCTCCAGCTCACTTGTCCCACATTCTGAGAAACTGTGGAAAACCAGGTATGAGTTGGGCAGCTGGGATGTCCTTAAGCCCAAGAGCTGCACTATAGACAGCTATAACTTATGCTCTCACAAACCCCATAGTGAATATAAAACTTCCTATTTGAGTAAAACATCACATTTTCCTACTCTCTCCCATTTTAGTAAAATAACACGATTGTGTTTTTATTTTTAAAAACTAGATACCAAGTTTTCCACAGTTTTCAGATTAAAAAGTTTTCCTTAAAGCTTTCTCATGTTGACTTAATGATCCTCCTAGATTTTTTGAATCTAGACTGAGGGGTTGGCTTTTGAATAACTGTGACAGCATCACAGGTGTTTTATTCCGGGATTTCATATGACGGGATAGGTGAATCAGTCCAATTTCCTTGTTTTCTGCAATTGCCTGGGTGGCTTCATGTGTCAGTACACAAAGCTTGTTAAGTTTAATGCGGTGGGGAGCCAAGCCTAGGTGGTTTTGTTCTCTCTGCCTGTGGGAATGTGTTCTCTTCCCCTAAACCTGCATCCCTGCAGAAGTAATGGTGCCCTACTGCCAGGGGCCTCACATTCATGCTGACCTCTCTCCCACCACAGCTCTAGTTGGGGGTGACCTCAGCAACTCCTACCGTGGCTCCACCCATCCTTTCCTGCGGTCATCTTCATCCCGTTCGTGAATGAGCATGGAAGCCTGTGGGCCATCCTCCAGATTCCAGACTCTTCCCAACCTCATATTTAGCTCCTTCCCTCTTGGACTTGCTGGTTGGTGTGTCTGATCGAGTCGCCAACTTTCTCTAAACCAGATTGCCTCCCCGCCTTGTATATCCACCTTTCCAACCCCAGCCACTCTCACCCTGCTTCCTATCTCCTCCGCCCTTTATGCTGCTGAGGCATGCTTTTTCCTGAAGCTGGGGTGCCTTTTCCTCTGGAAACCTGCGTGGTCTAAGACTCACCTGAGGTGATGCCTCTTCAGAGAAGGCCTCCCAGAATGACATTCTCCTTGCTTTGCCTTCTCATGGAGAGCCTTGCACTTTGTTTCTCACCAGACTACATCATCAGCATTTGTTCCCTTCTCTGCCTTCAGACTAGTTAGGCAGGCACTTAAACTCATGGTGGTGGCCTGAGGGTTTGGAGCCCTGTAAATCTTGGCTCAACCCAATTACCCCCTGCAGCCATCCTGCTAAGTCCTATATTAAGAGATTGATTTTGAAAAGTGGGGGAGAGATCAGCACACCAGGCTCCAAGTGTCCTCTCCACAGCAGGCTTATGCACATGCTCTTCCTGCTGGTGTTCCTTTTCTTTATACCTCAGCCTCCCCTCTAAGCATCACCTCCAGTGGGATGCCTTCCCTGCTCCCACATATCTAAGTAAGTTCTTCCAGAAGTTGCTCTTTCAGAGGACTGGCCAGTAAATACTGGTGTACAGTAACTTGGGTATTTGATTCACGTCTGAGTCTCCTACCAAACAGTGGGTGTTTAGCCCATAGGTAAATGTTAGTCTCAGTTCTGAGGTTGCTTACAGTCTAGCTGGGGTTATGTGAACATAGAAGAATAAGGGTTGACTATTTGTGATGCAAACAGGAGAGAGCTTCCTGAGGGTCCAGGCCACACAGAGCCTCAGAGGGGAGGTCAGGGTGGAGAACTGAGCCCTGAAGGAGTGGCAGGATCTGGATGCCAGAGAGGAGCTGAGCGAAAGACCCCCTTGATCTCCAGGAAGCATTTGTTCCAGGAACTCTTGCCCCTGCAGGAATGTGTATTTTCCCAGGACTTGTAAGGTGACTGCAGCCAGCTAACCCTTCCTTGGCAGCTCTGCTAACACACCCTTTCGGGCTGCTCTTAGAAGAGCCTGCCTGGTTTACGTGGTCAGATTTCACAACCTCCCCATTATTAGTGGCACAATTAAGGGGCTGATACCATCTTGAACACAGCTCAGTGTTTTAGAAATGAGTTGTGGGCACACTTCCTTGACTACTTAAAAAAAAAAAAAAATCTCATAGCGCCCTTGCCAGGTAAAGTTGCTCGTTCCGTTTTCCCAAAGAAGTAACAACTTGTAAAATTTTGAGAGGAAATTTTGCATCCTCATTGACACTGGGTCTCAATTCATGCTTTTTGATAGTAGAATGGTTTGGTTTGTGATGGGTAACTTTATGTCAGTCACTTGTGCTAGGGTTTTTTTCCCTTTGGGTCTTGCTGGGCGTTTGCGGAGCCTGTTTATGGAATAAAAAATTAGGAGTCTCCTTGCACAGGTTTTTATTTAGTGGCTTTTCCTGCCATGAAGGAGGAGGAATATTGCCTACCTCCCTACCTAAATGGAGTACACTTTCTCTGGTCTGTTATCCCTGAAACACAATTTCTGCCCCCAAAATGTCTGCTCCTTCAGGAATTCAGGAAGCTAGAATGCTGGCATCATCTTTACAGCGAAGTGCAAGTTTCCCATTTAAGGCAAATACTTCATCTCAAAAGGTAGGAAGGAATAGGGTGGTACTTGGAAAAGAAGTTCCAGCTGGTTAAAATTTAGGTCCCTGATAAAAGTCCAATCCAAGAACTCTCCTTGGCTGTGGGCCCAGGCATGTTTATTTGATTCTGAATTGGATGCGTTTTCATTCACTTGCAGCTCATGGCTCCCAAGCCCGCATATGGTCTGCCTGTCCTGTGGCCATGTTGCCCATGTTATACATGCTCATGTTTCCCTTACAGAATTCCTGGTTAAAAGTGGCTCAGCGCTGGTTGACACTTTTTTTCAGAGAGACATTCTTACAAGTGTGATGCTTCTTCCAGACCGTTTTGCACTGTTAACTGGGAATCCTCCTGGCCCTGGTCCATCTCTCTTGAGCAGCCCTCCCTTCTCTACCCACTCGACCCTGAGCCCTTGCACTGCCTGGGGCATCGTGCTAGTTATTAACTCTGGGATTCAGCTGGGTGAATGTGCCCAGCAACTAAGTGCAGGCTGTGGCACCATTCCTTCAGAACAAAATTTCTCAGTGTGAATCCAGAGGCTTCCAGTACCAGGATTGCTTTGGGAGCATGTTAAAATGCAAATTCAAGGCTAATGGAACCCAAATGGGAGTGAGGTGGGGCCCAGGAATTGCGCCCCATTTTAAGAAGTACTCTGTTGCTGTCTCAACTGTGAGAACCATTGCTTTAGGAGACAGGCGTCCTGATTGGGAGAAAGGGGAGAGAAGCCACGTTCCAGACATTAAAAATGAGAGTTTGATTTTAAATTATTTCACTGGATTTAGAGAGGAAAATGGAGGCTTTGTTAGAGCTGTGGCCAATGAAAGGGGTCAGGTTGGCTGAGGGAGGATGTGGGGAGCCAGCTGGGCAGGGCACCCTGATTTGGGTGGGTGCCTCTGGCCTGGGGTTGAAGAGGAGGCCAGGAGGGAAGGGGACCTGACGCTTCCACTGGGTTCCTCCCCAGAACAGCTGGGCTTGTCTGGAAAACAGTCTCAGGAAAGAATAGAGTAGGATCTAAGTCATATTTTCTCAGCAGTTCGAACCTTACAGACGGCTTCCCTGCAAAGGAAAGAACTGCTAATGCTTTTTAAAGTCTCTATTTTAAGTTGAATGTTTTTCATGCTTCATTTGGCCTAAAATGTATGTTTTGTTTTTTAATATTTCAAACACTCTTTTCCCTTATCGGTCCCTAAACCTTTTTACCTAATGTGCCCCAGCAGATGTGCGCTGCTGCTGCTGCTGGGGCCGCCCCATCAACAG